ACATCTACCTTTGTTCCTTCAGAACAGGTCCAAGATTAGGTGTTCTACAAGGCAGCTTTCCTAACTTCGCCTCATCTCTTCATGTGCTGACCTCATGTCACTTTCTTATCAAGCTTTGCTTACGCATTTTCTTGAACACCAACACCCTTATGATTCAAGGCCACACATAGATAGGGCTGCCCGGAGGAAAAGGGGAAAGAAAGCCAGGGGCCCTGACTCATGCCTGGAATCCAGCACTTTGAGAGGCTGAGGTGGGAGCATCACTTGAGCCCAGGAATTTGAGATCAGTCTGGGCAAAATAAACCAGGCATGGTGGTGTGCAACCACAGTACTAGCTACTTGGGAGATTAAGACGGGAGGACCCCTTGACCCTAGGAGTTCAAAGCTACAGTGTGTGCTATGATTGTGCCACTGTGCTCCAGTCTGGTGGCAGAGTATGACTCTATCTCCAAAGAAAGTAAAGAGAAAAGAAATTTTAGCACCCAAATAGGCAGCGATTTTCAACTGGTGTGCCATGAAAATTTTTAAAGACTTCTAATTAAAGTATTTTCAAAAGAAGTTCAAAGCACAGTAAGTATATTCCTTTTTTTACTCTTTTTTTTTTTTTATCAATGTAATTTAAGTGTACTGTGGAAGTTTAAGTATAGGTTCAAGTGTGCCGAGAAATAAAAAAGGTTGAAAAACAGTGAATCCTTCGATAGCTCCGTTGGTAGAGTGGAGGACTGTAGGGGATAAAAACAAACCATTTAGAAGAAGAACTGGCAAACTACAGCCTATCACCTCTCTCTTTGTAAATCAACTTTTATTGGAATACAGCCATGCCCATTCATTTCAATATTTTTGCACACCAACAGTAGAGTTGAATAGCTGTAGAAGAGACTGCCTTGCAAATTCACTATCTGCCTCTACAGAAAAAATTTGCCAACTACTGATTTGGAAGATTAATGAATCTTTTAAAAGAAAGTAGACCAACATTGTAATCATGGAAACATTACTCCATTTTCCTTTTTGGTGTAAATTAATTCTGCTAACTTTCTTGAGGGTTACTTTATATCAGAGAGCTAAATATTTATTTTTATGATTCTCTTGCAAAAGGGTTTTATAAAGTGACAATAGCTTATAGTGTATGAGTCAACACCCAGATGACTTCATGGTATGATAAAACATCTTTGTTATATCATTATGGGCAACTTGGTAACTCACTTCAACTATTTTGGCCCTTCAGAACGTTGGGAATTGGAGGGGTTCTTTATGGGATGGACAATAAAATGTGAATGAGAGAGAGAGAGAGGCTGAATTCTAAATCTTTCAGACAATCTCCTGCCAAAATGAGTAATCATGAGAATGTGCTTCCTCTTCAATTCCTAAACTTGAGTGCCTAAAAGTTTTATAAAATTAGAAGTCTTGTTAGTTTTTAATTTTTACAAGAAAAGGAAGTGTTGTTCATTTTTCCTTATAGGAACCCATACTTCAGTAAAGTTTTCAAAGTGGGTTATAAGGTTTTACAAAGGAAATAGAGAAAAACCTTGGTAGAATTTAGACTTTTAGGAGTTCTCTAAACACTGAAAGGTAACACACAAAGCCACAGCTCATCATAAATATAAAAACCACATTTTGCAAACGTTGTCATGCATGATCTCTTTCAAACCTTTCAGCAATTTCTTCTCTAGTGAAACTTCAATAATTGACTTTGATGGGCTCCATTATATAATAAGTGAACTCAGTGAATGAACATGAAGAAGATCAGGCTTACAGTTAACTTCATATAAAATAAAATGGCCTTTCTCTTTAGAGTTTTTAAGGGAAAATTTTGAGGTTTTTAAGGTACTCAAACAAATAACAATCTGGGTCGATTTTTCCACTTAGCAGATAATAGTTTAGAGATAGCGACGTAACATTTCTACTCTTAGTCATAGTTTCAAATGATAACCAGGTTTACCTCTGTTCTGGGTAAGTCATAAAACCACAAAATGAATCTATTACATGGAGTCATCCATAATGAGTTCTGTAGTTTGTATTCTTAGCTGCTTCCTGCTGGCAATTGTTTTTGAAACAGTACTAATTTGAAATGTTGTAGCAGTTTTGGAACGATTTCAAGAATGATGTCCAAAGGGCTGATCAGAGGCAGTGATTTCTTCTCTGTGAACTTTTCTGTGGTTTTGGCACGTTCAGTATTTCGGACACGTCAGTAGTTTTATGGATGTTAAAAAGGGCATAATTCTTTTTGGAAACGATAATTCTTCCACATTCTAGACGAAGCTGAGGACCTTGAAAACACACCCTTGTGTTCTAAGCTCTTCTATTGCTCCCCTCCTGACTTGTGGGCATAGTCTGTAGTTTACAAGGATCTATCTTTAAAGTTTGGGCTTTGCCAGAGGTTGTGGGTTCAAACCCAGCCCCGGCAAAAAACTGAAAAAATAAATAAAAAGTTTGGACTTTTCAAAAGTTGGTTTGATGCTTTAATGACATTCTGTTTTACTGAATAATAGAGATAGGCTCGTGTTGACACCTTTTTAAAATGTGTGTGTTGAGGGTAATAAAGTAAATTTAACTGTGGAACACGGAAGTGCAGATTATTTGGAACCATGTCACAGGTTTACATAACCTGTCTATGATTCAGTTTCCTGGTCACATAACTTGATAAATTAAACCATGGATTGTACCTTTCTCCTCTGGCAGCCTGAGACAGGTGTTGAGGAGTATGGTGGAACAGAAGCTTTGGCGTTAGATAAATCTGGAATTGGGTTTCTCAGCACTATGTGACCTCGTTAAGATTCTGTATGCTGGTCTGTAAAATATAAATGATAGTATCTTCCCAGAGTATTGTAGAGATTGAATGAAACAGGAATGTACTGTGTGAATTCACTAGTTTGCCCTTCGCAGTTGGTCAATAAGTGGAAGATTTGTGCCCTTTTGTCTGTCTGTGTCCTTGTCTTTTCTCTGTCTCCACCAAGACTTCCTCCTTCCTAAAATGAGGAATACAGGGATGTAGGTACCTGCCATCCCACCTCAGCCTCCTCGATGCTGGTACCCAAACCAATTTGTATCTTGTTCTAAGTAGATTGTTTAATTCAGGAACTTTTAAGAGCTTTCCCTTAATTAGCTCTTTCTTCCTAAATCAGGTGAATACATGGCTTGTGATGGCAAAGGAAGAGAAGCCTTCCACCTCTGGGGATGCTTCCTAGGACGACTTTCAAGGCTGGTGTCTCAGCTAAAGGGTGAAGTGTAATACACAATGGCCTAAAGGCGTTTTTATGAGTCTGGGGATAAAGACCCACAGCAGTAACAGATTATCATTAAGAACTCATGATTTAAGTAAAAACTTGTGTCCTGAGTTTCTGTCTTCTTTTCCTTTCTTTTCTTCTCTTTTTTCTTTTTCAAAGATAGGGTCTTGCTTTATTGCTAGGCTGAAGTGCAGTGGCACTATCATAGCTCACTGTAACCCCCAACTCCTGAGCCCAAGCGATCCTCCCCCCTCAGGATCTGGGCTGGGAGTGCAAGTGTGCACCACCATGCCCAGATCACTTATTAATTTTTTGTAGAGATGGAGTCTCGCTTTGGTGCCCAGTCTAGGCTTGATCTCCAGGGCTCAAGTGATCCTCACTCCTCTGCCTCCCAAAGTGCTGGGATTACAGGTCTGAGCACTGCACCTGACCCTGAATTTGTTTAAAGGTCTCCGTGTTCCCTTCTCTCTAAAATGTTGATACTATTGGTCCTTATGGTTGTCACATGCATGTGCACGCGCACACATACACACACACTCATATTTCTGTGGGGTTAACTAGCCCCCCAGGTGGTATAAACAAACAAAAGGAAACAAAAAGAAGCCTCTTGGATGCTGAACTTTCAACTTCAATGTCTACATCACCATTTTACAACTTTACAGAAACAAAATCATAGGATAAATGATCTGTTCACAGTAATACATTGGAGACAGAACCATAGCAGAGATATTCCGGTGGATCTGAAAATAGTATTCCACAATACAAGTGTGTCCTCCTGAGACCTGCCGCGGAATCCCCGGGGGAAGGTCTGTCTACTGCGAGTGCCTGGGGGGGGGTTATGGGAGTTATAGTCGGAAGTTCTGCTTTGCTCTGCTCCACGGCAGATTTCTGCAAAAGCTGACCCAGTAGGAATCATCAAACCATTAACCAAGCTTGACGATGGATGTCCTAGGTCTAGGATTTATGTAGGAGCTGAGTCAAAATGTCCATGGGACCAGAGACCCAGGATTTCAAGCTCCTGTCTCTTTAGGTAGCTGTCTCACAGCTGCCATGCAGAATAGTCATTGTGCATGGGAAGTTTCCTCTCATTCCTGTCCAGCAAATTCCCACTGCTATTGTGTCCCTGTAAATACTTAGAGACTGGTGTGGAGCAAAGCAAAGTTGAGGTAACCAATTCACAAGGACCCCGACACTAACCATAAAGCTTAGAAGAGCAGGCAACATGTGAGGAATTGTGCAAGGTAATAACCTGACCAGCTTGTATCTTTTATCTTATTTTATTTTGTTTTTTTTGAGACAGAGTCTCAAGCTGCCACCCTCGGTGGAGTACCATGGCATCACAGCTCACAGCAACCTCCAACTCTTAGGCTTAAGCCATTCTCTTGCCTCAGACTCCCAGGTAGCTGGGACTATAGGCACCCGACACAACCCCAGCAATTTTTTGGTTGTAGTTGTCATTGTTGTCTGGCAGCCCTGGGGTGGATTCAAACCCACCAGCTCCTGTGTATGTGGCTTAGCTGCTTGAGCCGTAGGTGCTGAGCCATAACCAGCTTTTATCAATTTATTATTTTTTCTCCAAGCTCTCTAGCCTGTGCCGCATAGTTTACCTAATTAACCATGCTGCACTGACAACCAGCATAAATTAATACATTATCACTGCCTCTAATTGTATCCTAAGCCAAGGCATAACTAACTGCAAGGCTGAAAGATCGCCTTTAGAGGTCTAGTGGAATAGGTAGGCCCTGGTTCAAATCAAGTCAAATAAATATTACTCACCATCAAACCTGCTCCTATAATTCCTGGGAACCATCCCTCAAAGCAGGAGATGGGATTTTGAAAAAACTGGTCTTGCTCCAGCAGGTTCATGACCAGAGGTATGGCATTGAGGATCACTCCCAGCAGCAGGAGGACCAGCAGGCCGAACCCATTGCAGGACGTCCATCCTTCGCAGCAGGTCATGGTCACCCCACGTACAGGCAGGAAGCTTGTCAATGTGACTGTGCTTACATGGCACTGTCGTGCCTTTTATCCCAACCTTCTGGTTAAAATTTAGCACTTACAAAAATGAATTGTGGAAAGTGGTTCAGAGTCCAGCAGGGCGGGATGCAATTATGACGACTGTGATGGGAGCTAAGGGTAATTTTATATCATGACGGGGTAAAGGGAGGGAGGCAGGAAAAAACTGTGCTTTCTGTGAGATAAACTTATGCATGAAAATAGGTAGATTTAAAAACAAGATGGGTTTAAGATAAACTCTTCTAGCA